TAATATGATTTGATCACTCATTTATCTTTTAAGCTTATTCGTTCTTAATTATAGGTTATCGATATAATACAGAAAAGAACTGATAACGATAGAGAATTAGAATCTACTGCTACTGTTGACTTAAGCAATATCAATGTTTCATCTGATGATGATAAAGCCACCGTTCAACAAGACGAAAATCCTGAACCAACACAAAATGGTAGTGCTGTTGCTAGTGCTGATAGCGTAACACCAATTGGGACAGAATCTACAAAATTCGATGAGAACAAGCATGAAATTACCTCCGATAGTTGCGACGCTGAAAATAACAATAATTCAGTTCGTGATTTAGATGCAACTATTCTTTCGGAAAATAAAGAAATTCAGGAACAGTCTCAATCATCCAACGAAATACAAGTCAATGATAGTGATGAAAATAGTTGTAAATCCCCATCTGCAGAATCTCTAAATACCGTAGAAGGAGAAAATGAAATTGTAAATACTACCGGCGATTCCGATCACGAAACGATAGTTGAAATTAAAATAGCAGATAAAGAATCGCAGGATGTTAACACTACATCATCTGATACAGATGAAATTATTGTACAAGAAGAAATTTCTGTTCTAAAGGAGGAAGAAGACGAAACTAATCCCAGCAATAATGTTAACGAACCTGACGATAACTCATGCCCTAGTGAATCTCAAAATGATAATGAAGGCGAAATTGGAGAGTCCAGCAATTTGGGCATTTCGGAAAATAGTGACGAAATTTCTCACGCTATTAGTACTGATGACAGTGAAATATTGAAATATGAAAAAGAAAGTGATGATGTCGATCAGAAAAAAATACCAGATGATAACGTAGATACAGACTATAATTCCGCCGATGCTATAACCGATAAATCTACGGAATCTACTGATGCAAAAGTGACTTCAAATGATAAATCGATCAGTTTTACTGCTGAAAGCGAGCAAACTGATGTAAAACCCAATAATGAAGCAACAGCATCGACACCTGCAACTCCTTTACCTAAGAAAGGCAAGAAAACCGTATCATTTGACGATGAGGTGGCTGGTGCAGCAGCAGCAAATACAGATAAAGTACATAATGGGATTAATATTTCCATTTTAAAATCCACTGGAAGTAACCATACACGAGCAGCTCAAGAAGCAAAGTTCAGCTCTTTCGCTAGCAACCAACAAGCAAAAACCAACGATTATAATGATACTTTATCCGGTAAGACATTTTATGCTTGCGTAATATTAATGTTTTTTAGGTCACAAGATTATTTTCAAAGAAAGCAGCCGCTAAGTCAAATATTTTTATATTATAATGATATCATATACTAGACGCAGAGGACATGGTTGAAAAATTAACAGAAGACATCATCATGTTGCTCGAATTTTTTAGTTTAGGAATTGAAGCTATTCCAAGGCAAGCCACTTAAAATTCATTATATTTTATATTTAATATACTCATATCTATAAACGAAAAATTCTAGATATTTTAAGTATTAATGGATAGATGCTTAAGATTAATGTTTATAATCAACAGGCAAATGGATCTTCAGACGTTATCCCTATATTTAGATTCCATTCATGTCATTTTAAGAACCTCACCAACAGTCTTAGAAAATTATAAAAGCTTTGTTAATGTCGTTTGGTATGCTAAAAGATATCTACATAAACTTAATCTCATTTACGATTGCATTTCACGTTGTAGCCAATAGCAATTTAAATGTATTTACTTTTCGTTATATCATTTGGAAATTATGGTAGGCAACGATTATCGCCGGCATTAATATGCGTTTTAGGTCTAACACCTCAATCATTTGGTCTAAAATCCAGCCAACAGACAATGTATATCTACAATAACAGAACCTGTTATAAAATTGTGGAGGAGCTATTAAAACATACCAGATCGATTCCCTCTCTTCGTCCAGTTTTAGAATCTATCTTTTATCATATGTTAGCTTTCCCTCCACCTAATCAGAGATTAGAGCAACTAAAAGCGTTAAAATCGGTGCCGTACTAACTTAAAAACCAATTACTACAACTAACCAATCATATGATTAACGCTAATATAATTTTACATTATTACTTTTACTCTATTATAGCTATTTGCTTCACCAACTCGTCTACTTGATATCACGTTGCCTGTACTCCAACAATATCGAAATAACTCGATTACAGATATCAAAGAAGACAAGGCCATATTAGGGCTACTAAAACTGTAAGTTTTCACAGTGATTGTTTTTCCATTGCAATTATGAATTAGTTGTAATTATGGCATTAATATCAAGAACTTTCCCATCATACAAATACTTCTACACTTACTTGCCTACGATTTGAATTGCCCTTTACATCATTAACGCTGTCAAAGTATTGATGTAATATCTAAGGAAATTCCGTTTTTTTAATTATAGTGTACTAAGGTTACCTTCAATATAGATTAGTTAAGAATTTTATATTTCATCTGTAATATTGTATCGCAGTGCATACTTCATTTGTAATAACATTAATTAACGGTATGATACTTTAGGAAATAGACTATTTTATAGCGAGGTTGCTATTCTAAACTATCATTATACTCATATACATAGGTGTCTGCAGAGTGCTGTGGAAGCTAGCGAGAGTGGCGATTTGGCTAGTTTACAAACAAGCATTGAATGTGTTTGTGCACTTCTGGAATCGACAGAAGAATTAAGCAAAGGTTCATTGATGTCAGAAAGCCTTCTTCAGTATATGGAAAAAACTTTAAGCCATTTATCATCAAGCAAAGCTATACCTATCAAGTCTAATGAATCAGAGATAGCTCAAAAATTAAAAGCGTAAGAAAATAATTCTGATATTATCCGCCTATTATTGTAGATATAGGTTATCATATTTTTAAATAAGTTTTATGTACCTATATCTAACTCAATCTAACAATTAATAGTGTGGCAGCAGAATCACAACATACCCCTCAAGATAAAGAAAAGGAGGAAAATTTAGCGGCGGAGAAATCGAAGGTTGCAAAATTAGATATGGAACCCCATAGCATCACAGATATAGCAAAAGAAAACAACGAAGTTAAATCTGAAGCTAGTGAACAGCAATTCAATGTTGAAACAAATGAAGAAAAAATCTCGGAAAGCGATCAGGAAGATATTACTGATAAAAATATTGATGAACAAAACATTGAAATTGACGAATCTTTACAAGAAGAGGATGTCATAGCTACCAGCGATAATGCCAACTTAGCTGATCACCCATCGGAAGATAATAATCCAAGTACCAATAGTGAAATCCAACCTATTTCAGCGATCGGTGAAGAAGAACGAGATGCAATTGTAAAACAATTGTCCGGCAAATATTTAGAATCAGAAAGCAACTCGCCATTAACACAAATTATGTCACCGAGTATGGAAATAAATGAAAAAGAAAGCGTACAAAAATTTCTTAGTTGTTTAATGGAGATCTTACCTCATATTTTGCGCTTAGATAGTTTAACAGATGTAGATACTATGTTGCAACAATTTTCATCAAGCATTTGTAGCATCTTAAGTAGTCCAAAGGGGAAGCAACAACAATCATTCCCCAATCAAATTATTCGTGATGATGATGACGAAAATTCATCATTGTGCTCGGAGAAAAGATCTAGTAAACGCCAAGCTAATGACCTTACTCCTTCTTATGCGGATAATATTTATCTTGCCACATATTCTGTTTTGTCCTTATGTTGGAAATTGGATATGAGTGGCTATTACAGAAGCCTGAAATTAAATCAAGAACGTACCCCCATAGTATCTGAGGTACGCCAACTAATAGAATTTAATATTCCTTTCACGTAGACAACTATGACATTAAAAATCCTGCATAAGAAATTCGATCTTTGTATAGCTCTTTTATCGATGAATAAGCTTTGTGTTAGCAAATGTCGATGTGGTTGTGTACAAAAAATATATTTATAATCAATACATTGTTTATTTCTATGTTTAAGGCTGAATTTATAAAAAGTACAGAAGAGAATAATAACGCTATCCCGCAGCTTCCTACTTCATGGCTATCGGAGCTTTACCATCGAATACTATCATTTAACATATTAGAAACTGCAGGCTATGATAAGAGTTTCGGCAACCCTCATCTTATTAGGCTAATTAAGGAGGATAGTGTTGAAAGGCGCTTAAAACAATTGAAAACTCTTGAAGATGATCGTTTGATACTTTTTGAATTAGGTAATACTCGATCAGTTGACTTGATACCTGATTCCAAGTAATAGTTTTAGTTGTAATTTTTTTAATTTGCTACTCATTTTGTTTTGGCAGGAAGAAAATTAGCTCGCAGCATACTTACTACAGTTTGGGACCATATCATGCAAATTTTAATTGCTCCATTAACTGTCCCAAAACCAATAACTGCGAAGACGATGGTTAGCATGGTCCTAAGCAATTATAAAGAACACCACCTAAAAGAGCGCCAACTATTAACGTTAAGTTTAGAAGAAATTAGCCGAGCGGCTCGTTTAAGCTGTTTCCTAGGTAATTAGTTCATTAGCTGATAATGAACAAGTTAAAAAAATTGATAATTTCATAATATTTACCTTGCACTATAAAGTAGATAAAATCTATCAAATTTTCTACCTATACTTTATGAAGTAATTCTATTGTGCTGAAGCCGGCTTATGTCGATTTTGCTATCTGTCTCTCAAGGAATGCCGGAGAACTTTGCCTCTGTAGCGTCTAAATTAGTTGATGCTACCTGTGAAGCTTTCAGTGGATCTGGAGGATGGAAAAACAAGATATTCAGTACCAGCACTAATCATAGCTCCTTCAAATTATGGACTTCTCAAGTACTTGGAATTGATACGGTTATATCATTAGCTTTTGAGCTAGGAACCTTTTCATACGAAAGTTGGAATCACATATTTAGGTACTGCAGTGATTATACATTGCGTCGATAATTATAATAGATCTATGAGTTCGTATTACTTTTAGTGTAACTTAGTTATTAGTTCATATTATCTAGATGTGGGGTAAACTATCTTCAATGTAATCGTAATATATGACTCTTAACTTTCATATTAGATGTTCGGCCTTTGTTGCACAATTGGATAATTTGTATTCAACAAGTCTATCAAATATCAGTTTAAGTAATAGTTCAGACATCGATGGTAGCATGACATTTACAGCGACAGACGACAGTAGTGATGGTAAAAGCACTAAAGAACTAATACAACAAATAGAAAATCAGCATGGTATTTCATCGCAAGGATTAAATTGGAATGATGCGGCTAAAATCGTTAAAAGTATTATGATGTCAATTGAGCGATTATTTGAGGAAGCAGCAATCCATCTTGACGCTAATGGGCTTCTTTCATTCGTTAAAACGTTGTGCCAGGCATCTCAACAACAATTATTTAGTATCAGTGGCTCTGCGTGTACCAATGATGGTGCTCTGCCAATTCCTATTTTAGTTCCTGCAAATAATCTAGCTATTTCACGTACGTCTCTCCATCTACACCAACTAGGCCAATATTTATTGCGATGTACACATATTAGTGGCCGTCCATTAGCTCATTTAATGAAAGCCTGGTATGAAGTTGCACCTCATTTTGTTAAGGTATGTTACAGATTACATGATTAATTTCCCAACAGCTGCTTAAAAATAAAACGAATAATACTTGTATATTTGAATACGATCTTGCACACTGTTGCTATTCTAGGCTGTGTAAAATTAGTTAGGTGTTCGGTATTCTAACCTATTATAATTCCTTTTATAGGCTGCTTGTCATTATGATAGCCGCATATCTCTTGTAGCTGTACAATGTATACAGCAATTCATTGGTGAAATTCTACAACAGAGAGAAGAAATGTTATATTTTTCTTTTAACGAATCTTTGTTTAGATCCTTTGAATCTATTCTGTCTATTAATTCCAGCAATAACCTACTTCAAGAACGGGTACAATAATCAATATAATACGCTTATTGCTAGTTAATATGCAATCGCAACTAAAAATGTGTGAAGTAATGAGCAGTTATTGAGGCCAAAATTAGAGTAACAAAGCACTGTATAGGCTTTCGATATGTAGAGTATTAATTAGATTGCAAGTTTTATAATTTTCATATCAGAAATTAAAACTAGATTGAAGCATAAATGAAAGTAGTGGTATTCCATTTATTCTAACCACTTAATTTCTTGCTCACTAGATAATACACGCTATTCGTGAATTAACTGAAATGTACGTAACTAATGTTCGTTCGGGATGGAAACCGGTATTTTCTACACTACGCTCTGTTAGGATATTTGATGAACAACATGATGGCTACCTAATGATTAAGACATCTGATCAACAATCATCCCCTGTATTCGAAATTATTGCTTCATTTTTTAATAATGAGGACCATTGCATTTATGCAAACGCAGCTGTTGAATGCACTTTATGTTTAATTAAATTTCTTGTCTGCGATACCAAAGAGAAACTTGGATTTGATGCTTGCGAACCAGCATTAAAATATATTAAATTATGCTGCAAAAAACTACGTTCAGCCTATTTACTAACGTCAAGGCCTGTTTTTACTGGTGCAGACTCCATCATTTTGCCTAACGATCCTTCGTCAGCTAACCCGTCTGATTCTATTTATACCACTCAGGATTTCTTACAAAAAATATTCTCCGATGATGGTGCAGCTATAACTGATATTGCTATAGTAAATTTACCAGCCAGTTATACTATTCTCAAAACAGATGATACAGGTATTATACGATCTCTATAAAATAAATAACCACATAATTAAAATAGAATTTCTTCGGTGTCCGTACACGATATATTTTAACAGGGTATAATATAAACTTAAACATGGCCTATATAAATACATTAAAAATATCTCCATCCGAAAAATAACTTTTAATATATCTTTATAGGTATTCTTCGCGTTTGGTATTTGTTACTTGAAGGCCTGACAAGTGCAGTTGTAACCTGTCCGCGTAAATATCAACCGCAAAGTCTAGAACTTTTATTCAATCTGTTTAAAGATATCACTTCCGTACCCGGCCCGCATTTTGGTATTTTTGCCATTACTCATCTACTTTTGCCAATGATTCATGCATGGATGCGCCATGGATTAAATCAACGTCAATATTGGCGAGAATGTGAAGGAAATTTTAAGCATGCTTGTGGCTTAGCTACAGATCTGGTTGAAGACCAAATTACTAAGTTCTTAAATGATAAAAGAGCTGCTGAATTTGTACCGGGATTAATCCATCAAATGATAAATCTTCTTACGGACTGTATGGCACAGCCAACTGAAGCAATAGCACGCGTTGGATGTGCATCGTTTAGGTTAATATTACACATTATTATTATCGTATATAACGTATACTTGCAGAATCATTGTAATAGAAAAGCTTATGTAATTTACTTCGATTACATTATAATCTCCATCATTCACTATTTAAAGTCGCATATCAATGAGAACGTAAAAATACCCTTTAATTTCATCAACTAGGCACTTGTTGCTCGTTGTTGGGCCTATTTTCACGGAAGAATTATGGAATATCGCTTGCAAAGGCATTAGAAATGCTGTGGCTGCAACGTTATACAGCACAACACAAATGCTTTCTTCATTTGAGCCTGGATCCTCAAACATACATGGAGATCATGATACAGTGAAAGTTTTAGCCAGAACGGATAATACAAGAATCGAGCAACAAAGGATTCATCAACTAGCAGATCAGGTATAAGTTTATCTAAACATAGTTATTGAAGAGTTATAAATAACTCTTCATTTGTTCATGATCAAGCCCTTTAATCTGTAATATTTTAAACTACAATATAACCTAACTCATAGGACACAAGAACGTTGTATATAACAATCTTAATCTGCTTGAATATTTAATTAAAATAGGTATTTTTAACCGAAACACAACTTGCTCAAGGATTGAATACTAAAGTCATGGTAGACTCTCAATCAACATCGGAAGATCGTAAATCCTTTTCATTTCTGTTAATCCCTGCCCAACCTGTTCATGAAGGGACCGATACGAATAACTCGCAGGAAGAAATAAAGTAAGTCAAGCAACAAAAGGCTACATATCATTAGGTTTAGTCTCGATATATTTTCTGTAACAACTAACCAAACGATGTCTATACTATTATAATTTGTACTAGCTAATATTAACTTTGATATTTCATTTGTTATAGAATACCATTTAACAGTTTACTTGTTGGATTGTTATCCCATCAGCTCATTCTTGAAGTTTTTGAGTGTCTACTATTGGATACATTGCCAAATTCTGTTCACATTCCAATTAAATCCTTAGCAACAAATAGAAGGCCTTCTACATCTAGTGATACAAACGAAAAGCAAAATACCAATCAAGACCGTAAAGTTGGTCTTTTGCAGTATCTTCCGGTTCATAATTTGTCTGTCTTGCTGGATTGCTTAGTTAGCTCTTATACCATATCTTGTGAATTTAATTCTCGACCTGCAATTCGATTTATGATCCAAAAATTAGCCAAATTACCAGCTTTGGCTAATTTATATCGTCAAGCTATTCGAAGCTTTACACTATATGTAACGACATTATTTAAGATTTATGATGATTGCAGTTATCCATTTTCCCCTGGTAAAGTGCGTCGAATTATTAAGAAGAAAATTATATACGGTCGACATATTGGAAGCGGACTAAAAAGTACAACAAGTATTGACGAGGATGGCCAAAGTAGCATGGTATCGGATTATCTACCGTCAGATGATCAGTTCAATCTATCAAATCAAATCTCTGCAATTCATTCTAGGAGTGATCGCGACCCGGTGGAATCTACTTATACTAGCACCTCTACTACCATAAGCGCTAGTCACACTACCGCATTAGGACGTCGTAAACTTTTTGGTTGTAGTTTTAGTGAAGACAGGACATCGATTCATAGTGGTTATAAAGGTGATGATGAGGTATTTAGCGAGATAAAAGGAAATCATGATGGTGAAGAGGATGAAGACAGGGATAATAGCTATTTAATTAGTATTATCCATAGAATCCATAATGCTTGCTGTCAAGTTTGCGCATCCTATATTACATTGCATAGCAGCGATACAACCAAGCTACCACTGCTTGATACTCAATTAGATTATTTAGATTATGTCAAAGAAATTTCAGTTGATGATTCCAATCTTAAGAGATTGATCTCAAAATATAGTGAAGAACAAAATGAATCAAGTAATCAAGAACATCGTATATATCGTGTTGAAGATCAGCAATCACAACACAGTGGTGCAACAACACCTCGCAAAAGTAGTGGTGAAAAATTTACGGAATGCGATAATGTAGCAATCGGTGCTTATGCTACCCTTGTTAAAACAATGCTTAGGTTAATATTAGGATTACCTGATGATAAATTTAAAGCTATTTTACCTGCTGTCTTGCCAGCAATCAATTTACTAATACTCAAAGTTAACGAAAGCTCCGTTCGACAGAGCGTTTATCAAATTATTTGCCGTGTGACTATTCTCTATGGTATATGTTGATAAAGTATTCATTCTAGTATCGACGATAATCAAAATCGATAATATTTGCTGTATTAAATTTCAGTGAAGAAAGAAAATTTTCCAAATCTAACGATGATAATACTCGTATACTGGAGATCGGTTAATGCAATCTGTAGCTAAATCCGTATGCTTATGAATAATGTGTAAAAACCTATTGATTGCTCTAATTATATATCTAGCCAAGTTGCCATTGCTGGGCATCATTTAGCTTTTATAATAAGCTAGCTTGTCTTAAAAACCTAATTTGAAAGCCAAATTTTTAGCAGCACAATAAGTTATAGAAAGAAATTGATATGTATTAGGTTACTAATAGATTAAATATAGTAATATATTCATTTTGGAGTCTATAGTCTCAATGGCTGATCCGTATGGATTTAAAGATACAGCAAATTGTTAAATGTATAGTTCCTTTTTGACATCAGTGAATAATTTTAAAACGTAGCTCACTTTAATAATATTGATATCTATAATGAATTAAGTTATTTTAATTGCTTGAATTTTAAGTTTGGACGCGTTTCTAAACTATTTAATTCGAAAAAGTAAGAACAATGTTTAATTATTGATATTCGAAAACTTTAAGCGATCAAAAGCCGATACCATATAACAAAATGATTTTAAGATATTAAAAATATAATGTCTATGTAATATGGCCCATTAATAATCAACCCCACAAGGCATACTCCCATATTCAACTAATTTCAAATTTGACGATGAAAACTCCTAAATCAGGTATGGTACGTTGTACCATATTTTAATGTTATGTATTAGTATTTAAATAAAAAAATAAGTAAACTCTACTCTGTGCTCTGTTCGACGTGGTGGCTATTACCAGACTTGGATATGCGCATAAATGACGTTTTGCTTTATTTTTAGTCCCGATATTAGAAGGTCGGTAAATTACGATAGCAATATAATTCTCCATTGAATTTATTGCACATTTTTAAAGTGCTTCAATAGTTTCGTTAAAGTATATGCTATTAAATATAAAGTTACTCTTAAAATAGTAATACAATGATTAATTAAATATACTATTAATCAAATAATTAATTTACTATAAATAATATGCTAAGCGAACAGTCGTTCGGCCTTACTGGACATTAGGTACAGTCATATTTTACATAATTGTACGTTTTCATACTAACTTTAATTAAGATACTATTTAGCTATACGGTAGGGACTAAAATTAAAACTATAGAATTTTCTAGGCTGTAATTTTCACACAAAGTTGCAAAACAGATTAATACTTCATCATAAAAATCTATCAAAATAAGTCATTACTAAGAAGTGCCAGGAAGCCTGATTATTGCTACTAAATAATCTGGTGTCGATTTATTGTAATTGCAATACGATAATAGATCATTTGGTCTAATCAATATTATCAGACAAGAATGTTTTAATATCGAATTGGACGATTATCAATCAAGTTCTCTCTACTTTAAAATGATAATCATATGCGAACTATAATAACGTAAGGTGAGGATATACAATACTTGTATTTTCTCTCAACTTTTCTTACATTTTATCTACTATCACATTCTATAGCTTCACTTATAGCTATCATTAATTGAATTCATCTCTAATTGCTGCTATAGCTCTATCTATATGAAATGGACATACGGAATACTATCACGTTATAAGAGAAATCTAAATTTGATAATAAACGATTAAACGTTATTATATTAGCAATAAAACATCAGATAACGCTAATATTACAACAAATAACATTGTAGCAGAATTCTTTTATTCGCAAATACTGGATGTCAATTAATTGGACCATAGACACAGTACACGACTGTACTGCATACAGTTTAGTTTGTAGCTAGAATAAGAAATGTAGTCCTATCATCAAAAATCGTTCATTAATTCTACCTGCAGTACCACGTATGAGCACGTAGAATAAGGGCTACCAAGATATTCATTTTAAACGGTATATGAAATGACACAGCATTTTTATATAATCAATAAATTGATCAAAATAGTAAATTTAAGAAATACCTACAGTATTACGGAGATAGTCTATCTCAACACAGGAAGTACACAATTAATGTTTGGTTACAAAAGCAGTATTCGCTATCATTTCTAGATTTAGTTAAACATATTGAACATTTTACTTAAAATTATTATACTCGTATTTATGGTCATAGATATCTAGTCACATAGACATTTAATAAGCTAAACAACGTCCGTCGTTTACAGTGTTGTTTCAGTTACTGTAAAATTTAGACTTTGTAATAATTCTACCTTTAATTTTTATCCCTCGCACCATCCATTAAGAGATATCGCAATGTCAATATACTGCATACAATAAAAGTCAATAAATATAATCTATAATCGTTTGAGGGTATAAAAAGTGTTTTAACTAAGCAATTGATATATTGATCAAAATTGAACATTTATTATACGACATATAATCAATCACATATTTAAAATTATAAAACAGGACAATAAAATGTATTGATAAGAAATGAGCATTTTTCGTATTTATATCGTTCATTATTCATAAAATAACTGTAGTTATATTGGAAATGATTCTTTCCACTGGATATGTCATATGTAGATAATTTGGCGTACATTTTGCATGATATATGTCGTAAATCACTAAATATATGAATAAACGCGTTTTTCTAATATGGTCTCCAAACACTCTTAGCTACCGGACTTTCTGCTTTTCTCTTCCTATTCTTGATTTCGCCTTGATTGGACGAAGATGATGATGGCCTGCTATTATCACTATCAGTGTTTGAGACAGATTCTATTTTATTTTCTTGTTGGCTACCGTCTTCTGTATCATGAGGAGTTGGGGTAGTAGAGGGCTTTGATATTTTTTCACGATCAATTTTACGAACTGATACATTGTCATTATTACTAGTTTGATTTTGATTAAGCTGATGAGGATTATTGGCGTTAGCCACTGCCGCCATATTAGCACCATTGGCTTTGATATGGGCTAACCAGGGTGGCATTGTCATATTAGGATTGGTTACACGAAGTCCAGCAGCTACAAGGGGTATATGTCCTGGTGAGTATTCATGCCTAGGTGGCGTTCTTATTAAGTCAGCCTGATATTGTCCAGATTGCTGATGTGGTGGGATAAAAGTAGAATTTAAGCGAATTAGTGAAGGATTATTCATTGGAGATCTTAAATGACATCCATTTAAATAATTGGAAACGGTAGTAGGATTTGATTCACGATAATGAGGCGGTAGTAATGATATTTTACTTCCAGGTGGAGTTGTTTTGTTAAGTGGTAAGCTATTTGGATGGCATGGCATAACGTCCATTGGATTTCTTAAGGAATTATAAACTGTTTCTGTAGAAGGCATTGGAATTGCATGGGGTAGCTTGCCAATACCTGGATAAATACATTGAATGGAAAGTGATTATCGAATTTCGGCTATTCTATGTAGTTGTTATATATTTAATCTATTACAAAATGACGGAAATTAACCATGCTGCCTCACGATTAATGGTAATTATTGAATAGTTATCTGAATTTTTATTATAAATACGTAATCAGCAATTAATTTGCATTGTTAGATTGTTAAACTGCGTGCGAATATATCTTAATAAATATTAGAAATAGGATAGCCCAGCGTATCACATGTATGCAATATTAAAATACGAAAAAATCTATAGAAGAGATTATGATTCTCATTCGCTAAGTTTAATAACTGTGCTATGGGGAAATTTCAATCTGTGTCAATATAACATTTGGATTAAATTATTTGGCAATAGAACACTTATAGACTGAATTTGAACCGTCTCTATATAGGAATTATGACCGTTTAGGTAGATTATATTTAAAGTAAATACGATATGACTTGGTATAACTTATAAAAGATTACATTTTCACTTGATTATTATATACGCTAATTACGTGCAAATGTAATCATGTAATGCTTCTTAGTGTTCTAATATTACAATAATATAGATTTTGAGACTTCTGGTACATAGTTTACATAGTCAAGTATAATTACAATCTATTAAAAGTCATGCAAATTTTTCTATTATTAGAATATTATATACGCCGATATATGAACTGCATTTACTATATCAATTACTCCAGGTACTTTACTGCATGATATCAGTAACAAAGAAAGATATAAGCTTTATAGCTTCTAATTTTTCTAAAAACAAATTTTGACATTGTCATTGTTCTGAATTAGACTAAAATCAGAAAGTGACTAACACGTTTTCCATAACTGGCTATACATTATAGAAAATCAATTCTATATTCAAAAGACATAAATAGAATTAGTAATGAATTACACGTTCAGTTATTTTTTTAATTTCAGTGCCAAAATGTCAGACAATGAGAACTATTATTCTTATAATATGTTATACAGTATAGGGAAGCAATTCCATATTCAAATGCTATTTTTACTGGAACTAGGATTAAAAGAATCTTTCGTTAATTTTCGAAATTTTTGCTGAAAAAATGTCATACAAGGACCAATATTATTCTCCCAACAAGTTGTATGAGTATACTATAGATTAAATTCCATATTTAAATATTATTACTTAATTTACACATTAGATAATTTTTTTCGAATTTTAATACATAAAATTTTTAATTGTTATATGAAATTAATATTATCGTTGCATGAATAAACCAAAGAATATGATAATTATGATAAGTAAATTTCAATCATAAAAATAGAATTCATATCTTATTGTCAAGAATTTATAAATAAATAAATTCAATTCTTACATCCTTTCTAGGTCATTACATCTGATATTATGTCAGCATTTGACTAAGTAACCCTTGGAACTAATGTAAAATGTATGATAAAATAGCTGTCTGTCAAGTAAAGAATGGAAAAAATTAAAATATGCCTAAAGTATTACAATTATAATTCTGTTACATAATGAGAAATCATATTACTTCCTAAATATTTCATACTAGGATAAATCTTATTTTTATTTTATTTGCACTACATAGGTATTACCTATTAATTTAGCAGATAGTAATAAGTAAATTGAGGGTATTGTTGTATTTTAAACTTTGCTATTGTCTGACTATTACCGATACTTAAACTCTAGTATTAATTTATTTATATTAATATCCTCCTGTGGCAATCTAATTGATCGATTTGATGTTGGTATACAATGAGATTGAACTAATGAAACGAAAATAAGTAGACTCCATATTTCATTATCATTTCAAAATCTGTCTTTATGATCACATTGGGGCTAAAAGTGTGAATGATACAATGTATCATTTAGAATATCCTACTCAATTTAGAGGAAAGGGGGATAGAAATAGACAGCCTTGAACTGACTAGAACTGTTTAGGCCAAAATAATTTTTAGCAGCTTAAATAGATTTTATTGCAGTATGTATGTCATTTGGTATCGATTTTTAACCGGATGTGTCAATCAATCGTGGGATAAAAGAGTCTATGTCAAATCTTCTTTCAGATATATCATTCAACGTAGCATTGTCTAACCACATCAACCATTAAGGTAAAGGTCAAGCAATTTTAATAATCGACTGTTTTCTTACCTTGATTGATCGCAGTAAATGCTGACGTACGGATCATATTATCATGGATTCTTAAATGTTGAATGTCGTCATATCCTGGCATGTGATCGTAGTGACGGCGCCAACCATTGAAACCATTGTTAAAACGATTTGCAAAATGATAATGTTCAAACGCTCTTCGATCTTGATGGCAGCTTTTATTTTTATGCCCTAAAGGGAACATTTGACAAAAATGAAAACAATCAGTTACATATACATTTACTAGCAAACTTTAAGTTGACTTTGATAATATTGGTCTGTTTTTAAATAGATGTAAAATTGAAAATAATTTGTCTCGCTATGCTGTTCATTTTTGTCACGAATGGATAAGTAAATTGTTATTCTTTGGCATTACTTTATAACGGGAATTATTCATGATAATGATGATGATTATGCAAAGGTTACTTTTATCGATTACTATTTCTATCAATACATCTTCATTCTACGTCATTGGTGAACTGTCAATATTACAATATGATTCAGTAAATAAAATTTCGTAAAGAGAAGAATTCATAAAATTGAAAATTAGAGTTAAAAGTTGGCAATAATTAAGAGTAAAGTTAATTTCTTAACTCTAATTTCACAAGCGGTATTCCAATTATAGTACTCATTAGTTCTGAGTTGAAAAGCCCTTTATATCGATATAACATAGGCTAATTTGAAATACTGTACTAAATATCTTTTATCCTTATTAAAATAAGAATTTTATAACGACGGCATAGTTATAATTGTTGCCAATGTGACAATGGCATAAGCAAAGTGATAGAAAAGACATCAAGGGGAGAAGTAGAAAGGGAATTAAAATGAATAGTTCGACATCCACATCTTGACATATTTAAACTAGTTCAATATTCACGACCAAATTTTAAATATTTTATACTGTACTTCTGATTTCTAAATAGTTCATTTCTCATATTTAAGTAATTAAAAATATCCTGTATTATTAATTTAGGATTAAAGTATAAACTATTTTGGATCTATTTCTATTAAAATCGTAATCCAATTCATATGTAGATTAACGGGTATAGTTATACTTTGTAGGGGGTAAAGGTATGTTTGTAGATTTAATTTACGTATTCCTAGATGATAACGGGAGCAAATACTTTTAGATTGCTTAGCTACCAATATATTAATTTTATTTTAATTTTATCTCAACTAATAGTACACTAAGTAACATTTGCGCATAAGTAAATGAGATTGAAATCCATCCCGTTATAATAAAGAGGAAAGCAACACTGCATAAATGATATTATATCAATGATTATAGGATGGATGATAAAATTTGCCTCCCAATATGTCAATAGAGCAGGATGACGGTAATGCAATGCATTTTTTAAATCATTTCCCCACCTCCTCATATCTACATACATGCATAGTAATACCATTCAATATTTTACTATATAATTTCTCTTATAGTCTAAACTCTCCCTAATTTCAATTATGCAGTAGAAATCCTAATATACTGTGTAGTGTTACTTATATCCATCCATTCATTAACTTAACTCAATTCAAATTAACTAAGTATTTCAAGTATATCTATTAACTAGTCATTGCATTATAGAATGTAGTAACTGGTAATAGTACTTTTTAATTCAAAAATTCGATCTAATATAGACCTTATTGATCATTTTCATGGCGATCATCTCGCTCTCTTACAGACAAAGTTGCTACATAGATATTTTAGCTTTGAATAGTGTATAACAAAACCTTTTTCTTCATAATATTAGCACCAAGCAAGAATAAGTGATTATACGAGATAACTCAATTGCTTAATTTCTGAATAGTCAGTCAAAAGAGTTAAAGTAAAATAATATTTAAATAATCAATAACATCCAAGCGGAAGAAAACTTACGTCAAGATTGGAATCAAGTAAGATAAAAAAATCACAGCCATATCAACGTAGGCTGATGTAATAACAATAATGATATGAGACCCTTTTCATCAAAAGCAATTTTGGTTGTTGGTAGTATTTCTATTGTCTAGATTTTCTATGCAGCTTTCTCTTGATATCTACAATATTACTCCCATTACCATCTATTGCAATTCTTCAGTATGATAGTATAATAAATTAGCTAACTATCAGCCAATGCACTACTCTAGTAGCTGATTATGATCCCGCTATTATCTTAATAGATCCGCTATGGGCAGTAAAATAGAGAAATAAAAGCGATCGCCATTGTAAAATAATAGTAATATCCAGCTCAATTTTGAAAGAAAAAGAACAATAATATTGTCTGTATTTTATTTAGATTTACATAATCATCATTAAAAAGTAATCATATCCTAGTTAAGTTAATTCTATGTGAAAATTGATCTATTTAAATTTAATATTCATGGGTAATATAGCTGACATTAGATGGGCAGGATTACCATGAATTTGATCTCATTTATTGTGATTATTCTCACCCAATATCTTTTCAATATTACCCAGTATTCTTACATATCTGATTTTAGTAAAATCTTAACTAGAACTTGGATGAAAACAATTATGAGCCATTATTAGCCTTGTTAATAATGTTATCAAAGATCTTGTCAATTTTGGTTATCCATAGCTGTAAAGGATAATTAAAGCTACGTGAATATATCTAACAGTAGAAATAATAAACAGGATTTGGACATATTTCATCCGCTATTCTTTCGTATGACCGAAATAATTAAATCCATATATGTATATTCAAATATTGGCAATAATACTATCTGATCTATCCAGAGGGATTCCAGACGAAGTATCCTCGTGATATAAATTATTCTTATCACTTTTTTATATCCAAGTAATAAAATTAAAATTATTTTTTATTAC